TGTCGGTGTCAGAGGAACCATCAGTGCGTGCCCATGGTCAAGGATTGATCAGATTGGCAGACTGATGACTCTAAAGTGGAGCGAGCACTCCCAAAAGACTATTGATTACAGAATGAGCTTTTCGGAGATGTTTTGGGAATGATTAACATAAAAAAGATAACACACCATTCACAGACTGGTACAGCGAAATCCATAGACTTCAACAGAGAAAAGGATTATAAAATTAGGGTGCTTTGCTATGGAACTTTGGATTCGTCTTGCCACCAACTCCAGGAGAGTATCTGGTCGCAACCGACAAAGCCTGGCTCCCCCTCTATGATCGATCTGGCTGTCCACTAGATTGATCCAGACTCTGGACTGGTAATTATAACATTGTCTGGCAGGACTGTGTATATGGTGTTTGTGTGTGTAAATTACTGAAAAGCATATGCTACTGTTGTATTCTCAATAAATGCGGCATACTGCCTTTTCCCCTATAAAAGATCTCACATGCTTGTTTAAGCACAACAGGGATACATGCAGCTCACAGAAAAACAGTCAGAATCCCACTATCCCATGCCTCAGCGCTGCACTCCACAAGCCACAGCCACTTACCCTGCATTTCATCCCCTGCTTCCAGGTCTCCAGAAAGCGGTTGCTCAGATTGTCAATGTCCATCAGTGGTGGAGAACAATACCTGGCTGCCAGACACAGTAAACCACACTGGGGAAAGCACCTAGACCTCGTTTACTTCAACCTCCTCACCTACAAGTTCATCCTCCAGATTAGGTTCTCCATGTATGGCCTCTACACAGGGGCAGATGACCGTTTTGCGGGGCCCCGGGCAGCATAATTCCGCGGGGCCCCCCCTTTGCCACGGCGCATGCGCGGTGGTGCCACGGCGCATGCGTGGGGCTTTTTGAAGTGCGGGGCCTGGGGCGGCCACCCCATTCACCTTGCCCTATATCCGCCGCTGCCTCTACACCTTCTAAAATATTCATAGGGCTCTTGGCAGTAGAGGCGGGCCCACAACCAATGATAGTATCCAGTTCCTTATAGAAACAGCAGGACTCTGGTGAAGCACTGACTAGAGCATCATTTCGCTGCCTGGGCCTTATGATAGGTCTGTCTGAGTTCTTTAATTGTCACTGTGCACTGTGGCATGTCCCACGAAGAACCCTTTTTGCACAAGGATCAAGAAATAAGCCCATATGTGTACTAGTTCATATGGGTCACTCTCAGCTGGGACTGGACAGACCCCTCTCCCCATATATTGATCAGATACAACCCCTGTCCCCATATATTGATTCAGTTCTGCAGCAGTCCATGCAGGGGACCATGGTGCGATGGCCAGGTATAGGCACCTGGGAAGACATCCTGAGACCATTGCACACTGAGACAGCACAAAGGTGACTGTGGATTTAAGTTCTCAAGTAGCAGGAAATGGGATTTAAATATTGCAGAGCTTGCAAAGGTGGGTCCTCTATCCCTGTGCCTCACATTTCTGTCCCCAAACTGAGTATATTTACTACCCTTTTTTCATCCCCTTAGTCTATATCTAATATGGGCACACTGATATATCTTTATATATTCATACAGCTCACCTGAGGTCAGTAGATCTTTCTAGATATTTCTACTAACATACTGAATGTTTATATTATGGGTATTAGGTTTCAGAATCAATAACTCATGGAGTTTTACTTGAGTATGTCAATACCATCTCAGGACTATAGTTTTAGGCCATCTATGGAGTAAACAAAATAGAGATGCATTCATTTCAATTTATTTCACATTCAAGAAGTTTTTTTCAACCGTAACTGTTAGAAACTTAGAGACAGTCCCTCAGTGCAGGCCATCTGCCTTGTACTGAAGCATTAGTGGAATCCTCGAGTGGCATTGTTCAGTGGCCTAAAATGACTGAAGGCATCTCTTGTCCTGCTATCAGTGTAACATGGAATGGCCAGGATATTGTCCAGGTTGGATATTAGGAAAAACTATTTCACTAGGAGGGTGGTGAAGCACTGGAATGGGTTACCTAGGGAAGTAGTGGAGTCTCCATCCCTAGAGGTGTTTAAGTCTCAGCTTGACAAAGCCCTGGCTGGGTTGATTTAGTTGGAATTGGTCCTGCCTAGAGCAGGGGGCTGGACTTGATGACCTTCTGAGGTCTCTTCCAGTTCTAGGATTCTATGAAACTTTTTAAAGTAGCGCAACAGGCATTAATTGGCTGCAGGTGCCTGATTAGTCTGCTACTTTGGGCTACTTAATTAGCTTCAGATGCCTGCCTGCCTTCATTATGTGGCAACAGTCTCTGGCAGTTCACTCAGGAAACAGAAAACCATTCATTGTGCTCCTAACATGTCTGCCCTCCACCAAACTATGTACCCAGCTGTGTCCTGCGTCTGTCACACTTTTGTATTGACCTATCATTATTTATTACTTTACAGACACACACACACACACACACACACACACACACACACACACACTATACTTCAGCCTTGCTGTTTTCCGTATCATGTGAGAAGACAATAAATGAATAAGAGAAATCATAAACCTAACCTTTGAATTGTATTTTAGCCAATGCAGTACTCAGCTCAGTGCATACAACAACTATAAAAACCAGTAATATTCAAATTTATTTCATCCTATGATAATGTCACCTTGTAAATTCAGTTAATCAATATGGCTTTGTGGAAAACACTTCTTAGTATGTTAATGAGCTACAGAATTTCTTAACCTATTTTGGAAACTACCGAAGTATAAAGAATTACCGTATATACTCATTCATTAGCCCATTTGTTTATAAGCCAACCCCCCCCCCCAAGATGAATAGATAAAAATGGCAAAACGCTACAACCATTTCATAAGCCAGCCCTGTATTTCAGCAGTTGATAAACTTCATTTCTCACTTCATGAGGGTAAGCCACTGGTGCTTCAGGATATTTTGTTCACCCGAAGTGTCTGCAGGCATGGAGCCCTGGAGCTCCCAGTGTCTGCGATTTGCCACCCTGACCAGTAGGAGCAGTGGAAATTGGTGTCCAGCATGCCTGCGCTGCTTCCTGCAGCTCCCCTTGGCCAGGAATGGCAAACTGATTTCACTGTTAGTTTTAAATACTATTGCTGATTATGATATAGTATTCAAACAAAGTTATTGAACATGTAGAGGTTAACAGTAATTGTGCTGCTGTGTATTAATTCTGTATCAATGAGAAGCAATGTAGGCCTTCCTGACAGGGGCAACCAGACAGAATTTGAATGAGTAGTGCTGTGACCCAATGTACCTGTTTGCATCACCACTGGAAACATCTTTGTGCAGGAGTGCTTCAAAGGAGTTATTGGTTGTTTAAAAAAATAAGGTGGTATAATGTAAATATTCAAACAGTGACATAATTATTAAGTATCGTAATTAACAATATTCCCGTATTCAGAAGAAATTTCCTATAAAAAGTTTAGAATATGTAAATTCTATTCAGTAAACAGAATGCCTAGGTAAAACATTTCTTGCTATTTTCATCTGTTTCAGTCTCAGTATTGTATCGTAATTCACTTCAGCTCCTTTTATGTGGAAACACAAGAAATATTGACTCTGTTTTCTTTCTATACTTTGCATAATACTAAGGGCTCATTTGAATATCAAAAATAGCTTGTAGGTTCTTAAAGTTTAGGGTTATTTACTGGACATCTGCCAGTGCTGAACGCCTGGTTCACATAATTGGACTTTTCATGCTAGGGAGGTAAATGCTAAATCAGAAGAGCTTTTTTAATTCAGAAGAGCTTTGTGTCTCTGGACTCTCTGGAGCTGACCTCATTTAATAAGTGTAAGAGGAAATGGTTTCTTAATGCCAAAAGCAAATATGAAACTTTTGTACTTGGTACTTGGCACTAACTGAAATATATTAAATCTATATATACTAATGATCAGTGTACCTTATAGCATCCAATTACAGGCAGTCCCCAGCTTACGTACAAGATAGGGACTGTAGGTTTGTTCTTAAGTTGAATTTGTATGTAAGTCGGAACTGGTACATATTGTAGGGGAAACTCTAGCCAAACATTTCTCCAGAGCTCAGTTTTATTCTCCCACACCTCACTTCCCTCAGTCCTTTATTCTCAAGCTGAGGTGTCTGCTGAGAAAAGCCGCTCCGCGTCTCCCTGGTCTGCTGGGGCGGGCGCTAGCTTCGCGTCTCCCTGGTCTACTGGGGGGAATCAGCTAGTGCGGGGTTGCCTCACCCTGTTTGTAAGTAGGGATCCGATGTAAGTCGGATCCATGTAACCCGGGGACTGCCTGTACTACACTTGAGAATCTCAGCTGAATATTCAGTGTGTTAAATGTGAGTATTCTGATTTCACACTCAATTGTAGTTTGAGTCTAGATTTTTTTTTAAATTGGAATTAATGCTGCCAGATCAATTTTTCATAGTACCAGGACCATTTTGGAAGGTGCTACGGCTAAATCAAGTGTTCACTTTGAATGAGAGGAGTAGTCATTTCCTGTGACTCCTGAGTCTTTAAGAACCCAGCAGCTGGAAGTCTCAGGTCCTGCTTCTAAACAGCCACACAGCAGATATATATTACATAGTTCTCCTTCAATCAGAATAAAAAGGAATCTTTAAGGATTCATGGCATTAGGGGGAGAATTGTTCTCTTTAGCTCTTAAGTTTTGTAATTTCTGTTAGTTATCCTGTAGACTCTGACAACTTCTGTTTGTTTTTTCTTGTTGAGTAGTAACATTTATTGTGGCATTATTATAGTCCTAGAACCCCATGGTGCTAAATGCTGTACGCACACAACTGAAATATAGTCCTTTTCCCAAAGAGCTTATTATCTATAGGTATGCAAGCTGTTTGAACCAATCAGGTTTTCATTTAATATATTTTAAGTGAGGTGTTGTATGCAAAATAGTCCTAAGGCTTGTTTGTAGATTTGTATCTTCTTCAGCCACTAAGATAATCATATGCATAAATCTTTGAAAGTCCTTAAGTATTTTATAAACTTAATAATAATTTTTATTTTCAAATTAGTGTTTAGAAAGAGCAATGAAGTTTGCCTTTGAAGAGTTCCATCTTTGGTATCAGTTTGCACTGTCCCTAATGGCAGCCGGAAAAGTAAGTCTAGTCTTTTTCTTTTCTTTGTATTGATGGCTAGCAGTAATAAAACGTATAGTGTTTTTCATCTTTAGAGAACTTTGAAAACATTAATTCTCACAGAATCTTTGATGATAGTGTACCAGTGATTGTGGTCAGCATTGTATAATGCACAAATAAATGCAGCTCTTGCCTCCAGAATTTACCATATAGACAGAGCAAATGTTAAATATTTGGACTTTGCTGTTAAATACACTAAACTAAGCACTGAAGTGACTGTAAGTGGTATTATTTTATCTATTTTAGATGAGTTATCCTATAACACATTATTCTGAAGAAAAATGCAATAGAATTTTTAACTGCCATTCTGATCAGCAAGTGCTTGATTTTTAGAGACCAGTTCACATGATTCAGACTCATCTTGGAAGACAATCCAGTAGACTTCTAAATGTATTTAGTCAGGGACATCTTCTCACACCATTATTTGTCTCATATTTTTGCCCAGAATTCAAAACTCAAGGACAAGTAAAAATTGACTTGGAGTATGGCAACCCTCATTCTTATACTTCTGGATACATTTTCCCCTCTTTAAGTATGAATAAGTATGGAGAACAAGCGATTTTTTTTATGTGGTATGAATACTTAATGTCTCCTGCTTTCACCAAGCTCAGTTCAACTGTGCCTATATCTTTTCTACAAAGAAAGACTATTGAGAATATTTTATTTAAAGGAATGGTTTGTGACTCTCTTGTCTTGGGGGTCTTTTTCTTTTTGCCCCATCCTCAATTTAGTTCGGAGTGGCATCTAAATGATGCAAGGGACAGAAGTGAAAGAAAAAAGACCTCAGACTCAGGAAGTCATAAAGGGCTGATCTATACTATACCTGTTCAAAAAGGGCCCTTACATGCTATTATACATCACTTGAGTACAGCTTGTTTTGGCTAGGATGCCATATTTCCCTGTGCTGACATCTGGTAAAATTACTCATATTCAAGCAAGTTCAATGGCAGTCAATCAGAATTATGCAATACAGACTAGGTATGTAAGGGGATGTTCCTTGCAGGAGGAATAACGGTAGTTTGAATTAGGAGCTTTAATTTGAACTACCTAGTCCGTGCCGCGTGTAGCCGCGGGCAAATAATTCGAACTACGAGCATTTAAAAATGGCGCCTGCCCGGGAATATGCAAATGAAGCCCGGGATATTTAAATCCCGGGCTTCATTTGCAAGTTTGAATGCCTACATTAGCCACCCTAGTTCGAAATAGGGTGACAGTGTAGACATGCCCCAAGCGACTAATCAACTAGTCAACTATATGATAAGCAAGAGCTTATTGGATAGTTGACACACTAGTCAACTAGTTACTTTCCTCCCCTCCCCCTTTGCTGCCTCTACCACAAAGAGGCAGCAAGGATGGAGGAAGAGCAGTGAGTGCTGGCGGGAGCCGGCTTAAAAGCCGGTTCCCCCAGCTCCAGCTCCATGGGAGGGGACAGGGGCACAGTGGTGGCCAAGTTTGAAATGTACAAGAGTCCCTGCTGGGGCTCTTGTACATTTCAAAGGCAGAACGTGGAAGTTCTTATCGATTAATCAAATAGTTGATGGAAATCCCATGGACTATTCAATTGATTAATTGAAATTTAACATCCCTAGTACAGACATTCAAATTAACAATAAGTTGACTCGAACCCCTGTTAAAAAGAAATACAATATAGTTGGATTCTTTTTACTTACCTTCTTATTTTTAAGGCTTTAGGGTTCAGAGGTGATACCCACACAAGCTTCCCTATACCTCTCTCACACAAGGAGTGGGGGGTGAGCAACCAACCTGACCCTCTCTGCCCAGTGTTCACTGCCCTCCTTACCTGTCTAGGCCCCAGGTTGAACTAGCCTCTCTTTGTACATGGCACTATCTCTTCCTAAGGCAACATGTGAGGGGGCAGATAAGATCATATTCCCCCCCCTTTCTCTCTCTCTCTCTCTCTCTCTCTCTCTCTCTCTCTCTCACACTCACACACACACACACACACACACACACACACACACACACCATTTGTGACAAGGTTCACACCAGAATGAGACTAGTGGCAGTTTTTTGGCACTCTGCAGGAAGGGAGGGATGGGAGCTGCTTCCAGATGCAGAGGGCAGGGGAAAAGGATAACCTATCCCATGTCATTGCATAGTTCATGTCTCCATCCCCACTGCTCCTGTCCTGTAGATTTAAACAGTTTGTCCTTTTCTGTCCACACAGTGTAGAAAGGCAGTTAACACCTCCAGACTGCTGACCATTGACATAACCCAACTGCTTCCTTTCCCCCAGCTATAGCTGGGATGGGAAATGGCTAAGCCCCAAGATTGGGTTGCACCCCAAGGTATAGGGAACCTTGCTGCCCAGGCTTCAGCAAACCTGGCCACAGAGATGGCTCAGCACAGGAGGTGGACTTATGGGATGGAGTAGCTCTGTGTTCCCCAGAGGAAGGACCCAGGGCAGGAGGGACAAGTGAAGTGGGTGCTAAGCCTTCTTCCCTGGGGTTTTCTGTGTGGGGCTTTAGCACATGAAGGGGTGGGCTCCTTCTGGGCAGTGCACCATGCCAGGGGATCATCCAAAGGAAGTGGGGGAAGGAAGAAGCCTGCCTGCCAGGCTGATGGTGAGTTGAATGCTCCAACAAGGGTCCGGTCTTCAGCCCAGTTCTCAGAGCAGGACATGCCCCACCAAGTGGGAAAAATATGGAGAAGCAGCAGAGCCGGGAGCAGGATATGAAGGGGCAAAGAAGGTACAGGACAATGAGAGAGGGAGCATGTAAAGGGCTGATGGATGGAGAGCAGAGGAGACACATAACTAGCGTGATCAGACATCCTGTTTTTAAAGGATCAGAGGGGTAGCCGTGTTAGTCTGGATCTGCAAAAGTGATGAGGAGTCCTGTGGCACTTTATAAACTAACAGATTTATTGGAGCATAAGCTTTCATGGGGAAAGACCCACTATGCTTAAGCCCTCCTGTAGCAGTGTTGACCTCTTTTCCCCTCCCCCCATAAAAATGGGCAAATTATCCCATATTTTTTGTTCTCCCCCACATCAGTACTGGTGGGTCCTGGTGCTGGATGGATCCCCATTCCCCAGCCACCTGCCCACCAGCAGTGAGTGGGAGGGTCCTGTGACCAGTGAAGAAGATGAGTGTGTAAGGCTGGTGGCAAGGCAAAGCTATAATGTGTGGGGCCAGCTGCTTCCCCTGCTGGTG